CAGGGACAGTTCTATCCCATTCTAAAGAGTCCATAGGAGTTAGCATCAATTTGATGGCAGTGAACTTGGTTTTCTTGTTTGTTTGTTGTTTGTTTTGGCTGTTTAAAGCATTGAACTGCTAACTACAAGGTCCGTGGTTCAAATACTCCAAATATAAAGCTAGTCTGCTGGGACAGTGGAGCATGAATGGGGGCCACGGAACTGCTGGGTGCAGCAGGAAATGCATGGGTTCAGACCTCCTTCCACAGCAGGTATTGCAGGCACCAGGCCCTGAGCTGGCAGCAAGGTGCACATGCCTCTCCATGAACACCTGAGTCCTCAAAGTAAGCACACTGGAGTTGGGTCTGCTCTCAAGCTGCCACCACAGGAACAGCAGAAACAACTGCAGTCACCCTGGAGAAGGAGAGATGCTCTGCTCACTGTAGACCCGTAGTGGGAAAGCTAGCCTACCTGTCCACTCGAGAAACACAATGCCACAGTATTTAGATGTTTATTAACTGTATTTCCCAAGTGTCAAGACAGGAATTACATATACTTGAGTAGTCAACTTTTTCAGGAAATTGTGAAAGGAAAAATTGCACACAGGATCACTGTAATAAAATATATCAGGGAATGAGTAGCAATTCTTCCATTTCAAAACTGCTGTGGCATTAAAATATAAAAAACAAATTTAGAAGTAGCAATGCAAAGATATTCACATTTTATGGAAAATAACACTATTCTTATGTGAAGTGTAACTACAAATGAACTACTATTAACTAGAAAACTTTAAATTAAAATTTCCTTCTAACTTTATCTGCAGCGGTGAAATACATAGATAGGCATATAAAGTTATAACCAAGTAATGAAACTATTCTTGCTTTCATCATAACTTTAACTATATACAGGGACTGTTAGAGGAAACAAATAACATTACATATTAGTTCATATTCAAAATTCAATTCAATAAAACAATAGCATTTTAAATGTCCTGTTGAGATCAAACTATCCTGTATCATGACTGTGGTGATGAATCTCAAAATGTAATAAATTAATAAAAATTAAGGCACACATCCACTGACACAAACATGCACACACATACATGAGAATAAAATTGGTTATAATTCATAATGAGATCAATGAAGTGGATCTACGTCAATTTTCAGATTGTGACATTGACCTGCAGTTTGCATGATGATCACTGGAAGAAACTGTGAAATGACATGGATCTCTATTAAGTGTTAACTTTCATTGTGAATTAAGTGAAGGCTTGCAAAGCAGACCATCAGTTTTCTATCCAACAATTACACATTTTGATTCAGCTCACCCTTTGCAATCCTCTCCAGGTTCTATTATTAAATGCATGAAAATCTACAATGATCTCTAGTAAAAAGGTGTAATTTTAACCAAGGGATCAATCAAAGGTAAATGTCTAGAAAATAATGATGGCAACATACGTAAAAATATGCTTGATACAATCGATGGATGGATTGTTATAGGAGATGTAAAAGCCCCCGATAAAATGATCTTTTAATTAAAACAACAACAAAAGTCCAAAACAAAAAAAATTAAATGTTTATGAAATGGCTTAGTGTAAAAAATTAAATATTTAATGAATAATTGCTCCATGAGGATTATCAGTTGCAGCACTATTCAAACTTCTGTTTCTATTTCCAAACACGTTACCAGAAATGTTTCCCAATATTGTCACCAGCACACAAAAATATACTTTTAGCAGTTATCAGGAGGAACGGCCTTTGCAAAAAAATTTTTTGTGATCTTGCATGTATGTATAATTTGATCAAAGTGTACAAATAAACTTAATTGCTTATTTTTATTTGGCTTATAATAAATTTGATATGACATCAGATATTTCATCTAATAACTAAATGCAGAAGTCAGGCTTTTTCCCTGAAATTGTTTGCCCAGTTGATACTCTGATTATTTCATTTCATCTTATTTTTATTTAAAAGCCAAGACCTCCTCAACATCTGTCATTTGATTCCAACCTCCAGTGCTCCAGTTGAGGATCCTCAAAAGGAGAATCAATTCTTTCTCTTCTTTTTCCTTTATTTTCTTTTTTGTTTAACATTTTCTTCTAGTTTTGTTTTTAACTTTTATTTTAATTTGATAGAACAAACAATTTATGCACATTTTGCATCTTGTCAACATTATTATTAGTTGCCCTCCGGTCTCTGTGTCCTAGAGACCCTACGTACAACAGACACTGCGAGTCCTGGCCGGCCTCACACTCATTATAGTTTAATGCAGCCTCTATGTCACTCCATGTCACTGGAGGTCTTCCTCCTTTGCACTGACCTGCTACTTCACTACGGATAGTCTCCTTTTCCAGAGACTGGTTTCTGCATGTCCAAAGTACATGAGACAGGCGTACCCTCCTCCTTTCCAAGTTCAACTTTGTGCAAGACAGATGTGTGTGCTCTTTGTGCAATCCATGGTAATTTCAATATTCATCACCAAACCGCAGTTCAAATACATTAATATTTCTCATGCTTTCACATGCATATGAGGAAAATTGAAAATACTGTGGTTTATTTATGTCAGTTGCATGTTAGTCCTCAAATTGTTATCTTTGCTCTAAAACACTTTAGAGAAGTATTTTGCAGCAGGTTTGCTAATGCAACATGCCATTTGATTTCCTGACTGCTTGTTGCTTAGATGAGTGTTGGTTATGGATCTAAGTAAATTGAAATCCTTGACAGCTTCAATCTTTTCTCTATCATGATAGTTTCTCATCGTAGAGTTGTGAGGATTTTTTCTCTCTCTTACATTCTGGTTTAATCCACATTAAAGGCTGCAGTCTTTGGTCTTCATCAGCAGGTTTGATTTCAGCAAACAAGGCTTTGTCAGCTGATGTTGTAGACTTTTAACCTTTGTCTAATCTTAATGTCATGTTCTTGCTCACATTGTACAGAACTGGACTATTTTCTGAGCATAGAGGTTGATTAACTACGATGAGAGGATACAACCTGACATACACCTTTCCTCATTTTAAACCAGGTAGTGTTCCATTGACAGACTGCATCTTGGTCTACGTAGGATTGCATGAGCACAATGAAGCGGTCTGAAATTCCAAGTTGTTATAATGTTATCCATAACTTCTTATGATCCACACAGTTGAGTCCATTTTCAGAGTCAATAAAACACAGTGAACATCTTTCGTGTATTTTCTGCTTTCACGTGAAGTGCATCAGACCTAAGTAAGCGTATCCCTTGTTCCACATGCCCTTTTGAACCCAACTTATATTTCTGGCAGGTCCCAGTTGATGTACTGCTTCAACCATTTAAAAATTTTCTTCAACAAAAATTTACTTACATGTGATTTAATGATATTATTTAATAATATCTGCACTCTGTTTTGTCACCTTTCATTTGAGTGGGCACAATCAATTGACCATGTATGTGGCTGTCTTCCAAATTCTGTTGCTTAGATAAGTGAGCATTTCCAGCAATAGCTTCATCTCTTAAAACTTTCAGTAGGGATTCTGTCAGTTTCAGGAACCTTGGTTTTTGGCTAATGCCTGCAGTGTAATTTGGACATCTTCCTCTAATAGCATTGGCTGTTAGTACCTCTTAAAAATGGTTGCTGGTAGACCAGTTCTTTCTGGTACAGTGGCTATGTTCTGTATACGCTTTCCATTTTTTTCTTTTTTTAAAAAAAGAAATGTTTTCTGCATCATTCGGCATTTTGCCCATAGAATCTTTCAAAGTGTTAACTTGAAGTTAAACATGTTCAGTTCTTCTAGCTTGAAACCTGCTGAGCATGTTTAGCCTTCTAACTTTAGTCTTCTAACTCCACGGGTCGCACATTTCATCCGAATACTTTCTTTGGGTGATGCATACATCAGTTCTCACAAGGGAGCAGCACTCTTCGCACTTCCTCCCCTTGTTTGCCATTTCCCATTTGCCCTTCTTTCTTATCTCTTCTTGCCTCTTGAGTTTTGTTCCTTAGAAAAAGGCTGCTCTTTTGATGTCATTGGGTTTATTGCTCAAAAGAGTACATGCCTCCCTGCTGTTATTGTTGATCTTATTAAAGTGTCCCTTGCCTAGATAAAGTTGAGTCAGGAGAATGACTTCCATTTCAGGTTGGAAGGGTGACTAAGATGCACAGTCTTGAGAGCTTTATGAGTTTCTAGTAGACTAATAGGCCTACTAATTTTTATGATTTTGAATTTTGATCCATCATCTCCCCTGCGCCCGGCCCCTTCTCTATTCGGGACCTTCTGTCGTGATCACGTTCAGAGTATCAGGCCTGTGTTTTTTAAGTGAAGATCTTTGGTGGGACACATAGTTATGCTAGAGTAGTAACCCAAATGTCGGGAATTCTAACCTGATCGGCATTAGGTTGCATGGAAGAAAGACCTGAAATTCAACTCCCTTAAAGATTACAAACTAGAAATCTCTAGAGAGCTGATCTAGTCGGTAGCACATGAGTTCGCCATGAGTCAGCGTCAACTCCAGGACAAGGAGTTCAGCTTCAACACATGTTTGTTATTCTTTTTATTTTAGAAAAAATATATGCAGTTAGATTGTTAAATCTAGATTTAGTAGTTGTAACAACAACAACAGCAAAAAACCCTATCCTTCACCCTTATATTTCACAACCATGTGCTGCATTTTTCAGTTTGTGAATATAAAACTGAAAAATGATCAAATCCTTGAAACTTAAAGATGAACCTATTGCATCTTCATTTTTTTAGTTTTAGGTGCTTCTCATGCCTTTTTTCAAAAAGTAGTTTATTTTTAATTTCAGAAAATGTAGAACAAACTAGGAAAAAAAGTGGGAATTAATGATAAGTTACTTTACTTCATCATAAAATGCACATTCTGGGAAAAACAAACAAGCAAGCATGGAGTTAATTAATTAATAATTTGTGAGAACCCTTTGACAAAGATGTGGCTTTATACACTATGGCATCATGGTATTTTGTTCACAGATGGTAACTATTCTTTCTGTTACCCTAGTGCCTCAATCTCTTTTCTTATTTCCTCTCTTCCAGAATGATTCATGGGGAAAGCAATATTCATATGCACTCTTCAAAGCCATGAGTCACATGCTATGTATTGGGTATGGGGCCCAAGCCCCAGTCAGCATGTCCGACCTCTGGATTACCATGCTGAGCATGATCGTAGGCGCCACCTGCTACGCCATGTTTGTGGGCCATGCCACGGCTTTGATCCAGTCTTTGGATTCTTCGAGGAGACAGTATCAAGAGAAGGTAATTTGTTTTGTGAAAACAAAAATCAAGTTCCGCCAATAATATAAACTGGGGTTTAAGTTGATTTTCAACAATTCTGACTAGAATGTCAAAGTGTTCCAAAATTCAGAAATCCTCTAACGATTCGTATGCCCCATTCTAAGGACATTGCTATGGAGATTGAACCAGAACAGTGTTTTATTCTGAAACACAACCTTTAGTCTGACCTTGGAGTTTATGCTCCTAAGAATCAGCTGATCATTGTTCTCTAAAGGGTCCAATGCCTCAACCAAACATTCCGTCATATTAAGGTAGGCTATTATTATGTGACGTAAAAGCTAGAAAGCTAGTTTCTTCAAAGCTCAAGCTTCAAAAGATCATTTCCGACCAATGTTTGCTAATTCACGCAACCAGAAATCTAGATCCATAAGAGTTAATAGCTATGTTTCACAGTTTCATCTGTAACATCTCAAACCCTCTCTTTGGCAAATTTGATTAATTATGTTTGGGTTAACTAACGTCATGCTACAACAATTATGAGATAAAATGTTTAGCGACGTGATCTGGTTTTGTTTTTGGAGGTGTACTCATGTTTTGTGCTTGCTGACTTTCCTCTAGAGTAATCAATTAACAAGAAATCAATCTGACTTTGAATCTTAAAAAAAAGTTGTTTTTCACCATGTGAGTAGCAGTTCCCATGTATCATGACCTATCGCATTTCAACAGTTAAAATGATATAAACTGTCCTCTATTTTATTAAATGGAAAGAGGTAGTCATTGCCTCAGGTGTCTTGTGCCTCTCCATATGATATTTGCATGATTTATATTACAATTCATGTGCTTAGCGAACATATGTTGCCCCTATACCTACATAAGTCACCCCACCCTCTAGTCTTAAAAATGCACATTAATAACTGCTACCATATATTCTTATGTACAAAATATTTTCTAAAGTGATCATTACTCTAAATTTTTCTCAAAAGAAAATATATGCAATGGTTTATTGATTGGCTCACTCCCCAACTCTACCCCCATATCTTAAATTGCTACAGCAGGGTTAAACCTTAGGTAAAGCGACAGAATTTATATTCTTGACTGAAAACCAATAAGTCTGTGACCAATATGTAAGAATATTCCTTAACTTAATTAAAATGCTATAAATCAGGAATTCTTTTGAAAATGACAGAGTACAACATGCATCTTATTGGATTTTTTAAAATAAAGATTAAAATGGCTCCAGAGTACTTCTGTGGAACGAGAGCAATGTAGACCCCCGATTATTGTCAAAAGAATCAAAGATCATTTTGGTTCTTGCTTTATTTACAGTTTTCAACACTATAATCACAAAACAGGAGAAAGAAAATCTAAGGATGTTATTTCTCATGAATGTAATTACATTGTCACCAACTATTACAGTGAGAGGGTTGGTATTATATTACTGAAGTAATGAAAAGATGAAAAACCAGAATTGCTCTAAGGTTCAGTTTAAAACAAAACCTCCAATTAAGTGGGAAAGAACAAAGAACACAGAAAGGGAAAAGAAACTATATATAAGAATGACTGACAAAATTATACTCTCAAAGATATTTGTGCTAATTTTGTAGGTTGCAGCAAGGTATATCAAACACTTCAATTACATTTCTTCACTTCTTGACTTGCTATCCGTAATAATAAAAATAAAATGCCCTTCCCCTCTGTTTTTGTTGTGGTGGTGGTTGTTTACCTGTATCATCATTAAGTACTTATTTTTTCTTAAAACAAAATAAATGGCAATCCTTTAATTTCCAAGATTGCATTGATTAAACTCTACAATGAATTAGCAATGCAGTCACCTTTTTTTTGCATTTGCTATATAAATCAAGTGAAATTTGAGGCACTAATTTTTTTCAACTTTGTGATCATAGACATTTATATGCAAAAATATTATGATGCTTGCCATATTCCATCAAGCTCTTTATTTTAAGTGTTAAACGATAGAAAGCATGGACACCAGACAATTCTTTGTTATCCTTTGATATTTGCAATAACTGATTAAAAGAATATACATCAATATTTGTTTCTGAACCAAGATTCATCAGGAAGCTTGGTTCTCAACTATTTTCTAGTCACACAGTCACAAATGGAGATATTTCTCAAATGCATTATGGTACTTTACCTTATTTTCTTTATTAAAACTGTATGTTACATTCTTATATTCAATCATCTAAAATAGGTTCACACAAAGTATGATTGCTTTGGCAATATTTTAAAAAATAGTTCTCTTAGTTAATATTTCTGTCTGGTTGTATTGAGACCATCTGGCAAAGAGCCATGCAAAATTAATACTGGTACTATTTTATTTCCATGTACCTACTAATAGCTTTTTTGTTGTTTTCATGTCAAGGAAAGAAGAACTAATAACATCTAACATCTACAGTAGCCCCTCAGATGGGCTTTATCTCATCAGCAGTAAAGTGTACTACTGCTCCCTCAAGTTCCACCACCCCACCCTCACTCATGGCACACTTTGGCTCCAGTGGCTACACTAATCCAGTCTAGTTGGTTACAAAACTGACCTTTTCTGGCTTGCCTGCTGTCAGAAGGCAGAGGTTCAACATGCCTCCAAGCTCCACCCTTCTTTGCCTATTCTGGCACCAACATGTTTCTATGCTGGGTTCCAGAGTTATTTGCAATCGAATACTCATAATTAATGTGGGTTATTAGGGAAGTTCATAGATTAACACAAGTCAGGATAAGCAAACAGGATTGGTCACAGCAAATCCTCTCCTCGGCCAGCAGCCAAGTCTCTCTGTCGGCCAGATAAGGAGAAGGCATCCACAGCCTTCGTTGTCTCCTCCACTTCATGCAGAGACCCTGGACATGCTCTTTCAAATGACCCTGAGATTTCTCTCTGTGGCCCAGATGGTTCTTTTATACTGAGGATTGCTTTAAATGGAGGTGTGGTTTGTCTTTTAGCCAATCATACCACCAAAGAAAACAATGATGGTGTCTTAAATCACGGAAAAATTGTCTAAAAGATGCCTCCAAGGAAACAAAGGATGTGAGATCCTTCACACCCTCTACTAATGTTAGGTGTGAATCCCATACTAACCCTACCTCTTAAAATACTCCCTAAAATAGGATTATTGCCACAGACCCAGAGTCCAGAAATATAACACATCACATAAGAAATTATGGCTAATATGGCCATATTAGTTCACTGCAACTCACATCCTACCAACTGTTTCATTTTGGAGTCTCAGATTTGAAAAAACAACAACATTCATTTCCTAGGGAACAACTCTTCTTTCTGGGTTCCCAATATGGGTTCCCTATCATCCCAGGGGCATGCTGCTATCTAATTGCCATCTAATTGATTCCAGTTCATAGCGACCTTATATTCAATAGACGGAAACATTGCCCAGTCTTGTGCCATCCCCATTATTGTCCTTATGTTCGAGCTCATTGTTGTAACCACTGTGTCGATACAGCTTGTTGGTAAACTTTGTATTCGCTGCCCCTCTACTTTACCAAGCTAAGTATTCTTCTCCAGGGACTGGACTCACCTGATATGTCCAAAATACTTCTTTGCTATAAGGAATGTCCTGGTTGTACTTCTTCCAAGATAGATTTCTTTGTCCTTCGGGTTGTCCATGGTACTTTCAATACTTTTCACCAGCACCATAATTAAAATGCATCAGTTCTTTTTTCGTCTTCCTTATTCAATGTCAACTTTCACAGGCATATGAGGTGATTGAAAATACCATGGCTTGGACCAGACGCTTGATAATCCTCAGAGTAACATCCTTGCTTTTCAACACTTTAAAGGGTACAGGGTTCATGAATATCAGATTATTTCTGTAAAATATGAAATTTTTAATAACCTGGCAAGATATAGGATCTATGTCCATGAGATCCTGTCATCATCATCATCATTATTTTAGCTTTTGACCAAAAAATGCAAGATGATCTTGACACTCTTACATTGCAGATTAAACTTTGACATGATTCAGAGTTATTGGTTCTGATTTTATCTGTTATCATGTTTACATTTCTGAACACCAGATTTTCCTGTTATCTAGCATATGAAGGTTTTCTGGTGTGGGAAGGGTGTTATTTAAATGTACTTGCCACCCCCACCCCCAGTTTTGGTCTCCAAATTAGCAGTGAACTGCATAGTTTCTTTAAGTGGTATATTGAACAAATACAATTTGAGATAACAACACATACAAAAAGTATTTGGGTCCCAGTTGTCATTTTAAGTAGGTACAGAGAGTTGAATTTTTCCTCCTTTCTCCTTTTCCTGATGGATACATTCAGCACAGTAATTAGCTTTTTTATTCTCCTACAAACATGAATAATCTGAATTTAGCTTAATGTTAATACTTCTGTACCCCCACCCAAGACATTTTCAAACTTGAAATCAAGAGCAAGGGGGGTAGACTTGATTCTGAAGCTTTCTGTTCTTTTATCGTAAGTTTCCCAGCACTTCTGAATGTCTTCTCATCAGAATACAGGAAAAGAAGGAAGGAGTAAAGAAGGCAAGAATAGTTAGTTCCCAATGGACCAGCTATGTGTGATAAACTCTTGTTCTTGGGTGGGTCTGGCAGATGAGCACAACTGACATTTTTCTCCAGACTTCTTTGGGATCTCTAGGGAAGCCCTGATGAACCCCTCACTTGCAGGTTCTTGGATGAAAGCCTAAGAATCTGGAAATATTTCGACAGCTTTTTGCTTCAGGTTTTTGGCTTTCCCAAGAGACTCAGGTGACAGGCTTCAAGATGCCAATGCTGGTCCACCTGTATGACCCAAATCCAGCCCACTGAGAAGCACTCATTTACCCCTCTCTAGGAGCATCCTGTAGCACTCCCTACTTCCTCCCACCAAACCAGGATCCAGGATGTTTCCCAACTTTTTTCCCTAGGAGGAATCACAATCCCAGGATGGCTATTTAAAATACACCTGATTGGTTTTCTTGAAGCACTTATTCCCAAAGAAGATGGCCTTCACAACCCCCTCAGGAATTCTCATCAGGACAGTCA